CTCTATTTTGTTGAGAGTAGATCTTTAGAGTATCTCGAACGCAAAGGGGCAATTAAATGCTTTAATATATCATAAACAAACCTCTCCAACGGAACAATCATATCAGGTTTGGTCACCTCAAGTTCGGGTTATTTCGAGTTCGGGTCAATTCGGATACGGGTTGAGAAGTGTATGTTCATGACCCATTACCTTCGGGTTCGGGTCGACCCAACGGGTTATGACTTTGGTTTTTTAAATTTTTAAATTCACATTAACACTTACATTTTCTATTAAATAAATTTAAAATATTAAAAAAAATCTACAAAATTAGTTTGTTTTAAACTCTGAAGTAATTTTTAGATATATAAATCAATATAAGGAATTTAAATATGCTTAAGTTTAGGAAAAAAGTAAGATAATTATGCAATATCATTAAAATTATATCTGAAAATATAGATTTATACACGAAAAACGAGTAGTAAAGTGTATAATTTTTAAAAATTCTTACTTTAGCGGGTCCGTCATGTCGGGTTCGGGTTCGGTCGGGTTTGACCCATTTTTAGCCGGTCATTTCAGGTTCAGTCAACTTCGGGTTCGATCATCAAAACCTTTGTTCAAAACCCAGTGTTTTCACGTCGAGTTTCGGGTCAAAAACAGGTCAGGTCACTTTTTGTCAGGTCTACATGTACACTTACTTCATTCATTAAAATGGTTATTATTTTGACTAGTGAAAGAAATAACTCAGATAAAGACTGTATATTTGTAGTTAACTTTTAATTTTTTGCACCAGATGTGATGGTGAAAGTAAGTAAGATCTGATTGGTAGATTATTTGTAGAAAAAATGATAAGATAGGTAGGGTAAGAATTAGTAGGGTAAAAGTGATCTTTTAATAGAAGTGTTTTGGTGAAAAATAAAAAATGAAGTATTTTAGTTTAAAGAGGAGTATAACTTATACGTTGAGAGTGCATTGGTTGAGTATTTTTTGGAGAGAGTGTAGTACATTAGCGATTGGGCCGAGAAAGACGAGTTTCTTTTTTTATTTCTCCTTGGGTACCGTTCTTGCTTCTTTATCGTATCACATGCTCTCGAAGTCTAAAAGAAACACAAATCTATGCACGCTCATAATTTTTTTTGAAGAGGGAGAGACAGATAAGCCGATAAGGAACTACTACACGACTGTTATGCACGCTCATAATTTTTTTAGAGAGAAAGAGAAGAATAAGGGTCGGTGATGCCATGATATGTGGCAGACCGTCAATGATTAAGATCGACAGTGGCACACGATTGTAAAAAATGGCATAGGTTTTTTAACAAAGAGATCTTAGCTCTGAGTCGGTGATTCGATGATATAATTTGATAAGAACTGATCTCGTTGAATAATAAAGATTCCATCCCTATATGGAGAGATTAGAAGAGAGAATATTAATTATAGTAGAATAAAAATTATAGAAGCAATAAAATAAAGAAAGCAATAAATGATAATTTTTTGTTTCCTATCAATTTAAATAGGCGTGAACATGATATAACCATAGATAGGTACTATTTCATTTTATAGTATTTTTGTCCAGTTTTGACTTTTTACAATCGAAAATGATAAACTTTGAGCATTAATAAAACAAAATTTATATACAAAAATAATTTTATTAAATTTATTTTGTAAAATGCTTTCAAAATGTGTTTTTATCTAATTAATATACCATGTAATTTTTTATTGAATAATAAGTCAAATATTGATCTCAATAGACTGCGAAACGTCAAAAGTAAACAAATACTATGAGACGGGAATTAGTAAATAAATGATTTAATGAGATTTACATAGCAAATTTCAAAACTTTGATTTTATTAGATTTATATGTGATATAAATTGAAAGTAATTGGTTAAAAATAAATATGAATCAAAGAAAGTACTCCCTAAATATTGTCGGGCCGGTGCAGTCGGGTCTAAGCCCGACCCTTAACTTTGTTGGTCTTCCTTTTTGAATAACTAGTAGACCGGCCCATTCCAAAAATAATCAAAGTCAGTTCTGTAATTTTACATGTAGGTTTTTGCAGGATGAATCCGGTCCCCGGCCCATGGTCTAGGAACCTTGAGGGAGTATATTTTCGGGGAGTAGAGTATGAGCTTGTTTGGGAGTGATTAACCTCTGGATAAAGCGATTTTCACAAAAGCTGAAAGCAAAAGTACCTCATACTTGCTTCTCCAAAACGGCGTTCTGTGTATAAAATAGTGGTGGTGAAAAGCAGAAGCTGACATGCCAAACAGAATAAAATCACTTTCACTCCAAGCAGAAGCTAAATTACTAAAAGCAGCGCACTGCCAAACACACTCTATGTATTTTCATAGAACTTGTACCAAGTCACTTCTTCCGTCTCCAAAAGGTGTTTCTGTTTCTGAAGCGGAATAGAAATATTTGATAGGATGCCTACAAAATAAAATAAGAACATCTTTTAAAGACGGAAAGACTATTACTTTTAAATGATTCAGTTTTGACTTGTTTATGTATACTTTTTGAAAAATGCAATTGCAAATTGATTTTATCTTTAAAAGAATGTAAATTAAGGCTCTCTTCGTTTGAGTTATAAAAATAGAGTTTGATGTTGTAAGTGTTAAATATTTAAAAATATATTTAATATTATTGTATTATTAATGTTACCATCCTTGTATAGGTTTTCTATTATGTCTCTCCTACCTTAATTAGGATTGAGACTCTTAGTACATATACATGTATTCTTCACACAATTAAATTAATGAAAATAATTCTTCTTCATGGTATCAGAGCCTAACCAAAAATCCTAAAAATCTCCATCTTGTATTTTGGCCTCCTCCCCTCGCCGAACATCCAACGCCGCCGCCGCCCCTGTTAAATATATAAAAATATATTTAATATTAGAGTAAATTTGCAAAATATTCCTTTGTAATAAGGTGTTTTTCCAAATCAGTTCACAATAAGTTTTAATTATCTACATGGTCCTCTATAATTGAGATTTATTCCTAAGATGGTCTTTCGTAAATAATATTACTCAAAGGAAGATTAATTGAGGGTATTTTGGTATTTTTTATCTGCTAAATTTAGAATTAATTATTAAAATGATCATTTATAAAGACACTACAAAAAAAATGACTTTTTGTGGCACAAAATTTTGCCACAAAATACAAAAAATTACCCACATTAACTATTTGTAGCAATTCTTGAATTTGCCACAAAGTTGCCACAGATACCCCGTTACAAAAAGTAATTGTGGCAAATTTAAATTTGACACAAAAATCATAGATTTTGTGGAAAATTATGATTTGCCACTAATATTACTTTGCCACAAAAGCTCATGTTTAGTGGCAAATTTTAATTGCCACGAATTATTATTTGCCACAAAAAATTATATTTAGTAGCAAATTTATGATGCCACAAATTATACTTTGTTACAAAAATTCATGTCTAGTAGCAAACTTTAATTGCTACAACTATCACGTATTGTGGCAACAAAATACAAATGAGAATTGAATTGTCGTAAATTAAGTTTGCTAAAAATTATTATTATTATTATATTATTATATTATTATTATTATTATTATTATACATATTATAATTATTTGTATTGTATTTACATTTAGTGGTATATGTGATGTAAAAAACAATAATAACTAATATAAAATTCTAAATTAAAAGATTTATTGAGTAAAAGTCATATGTTAAGATTAAAAACAAAATATATGCTAACCATAATTCCAAACAATCAAAAGTTGACAATGTTAATATAGTAGGGTTTTGAAATAAAAAAACATATAGTGCTAAACATATTTTTATGACAAAAGTATCCTAAAATCTTCCTCTAATATTCATTTAAGCTCCATCTCTCACTTCTACCTTGATTTACCTTGATTGTAACTCTCAACCAACGAGGAAAATGAATGATATTCTCATATTGAGTATTGATCTGCAAATGAAAAAAAGAAAAGTAAGAAAAAAAATCAATCAATAAATGAACATGTTAAAGTGCAACACTAAACCTTACAAGTTTATAGGAAAGCTCATACACATTGCCCTCTATTTTAGATAGTAATCATATTTCCAGTAACATATGGATATGTCCTCTGCTAATTGTTTGACATATCATCTATATAATAATAGGTCTCTACCTAAAATATTATTTTACTTTTAAATTAATTTTTTTAAAATAGAAATAATTAAAAAAACCGAAATTTAATCTACTAAAAATCAAACCGTGTAACGATTGGTTTTCTTTTTTTAACAAAATCAAACTGAACCGCATCGCCAAAATATGCCTTGCGTTTTGTCTTTGATTTTACGTAAAAATCAAACCGTTAAAACCGAAGTCATTCCTACTATGGTATCTAGGGTACCATTTAAGTACCCTCAACTAGTATCCATTGATATGATATACCAAAAAGGACGAGAAAGGCATCAGATGTATTCATCCTTAACTTGGAAATGAAAAATAACATCAAATTCAGAGATGAGATTAATGCCAACACCTTTAAAATTCAAGGAATAAAAAAAAATCCTGATTAACACTAGAGGAGGGCGACGAAGAATAAACTTACCGATGAGGACAAAGTGAAGATTTTTTTGTCAATAGGACATTTCTAGCTTTCGGAATTCTTACCGCCAATTGGCCTTGGTATCGATCGAATGATAGGGGGCATTCAAAGTGGTGGCGGAGGGTCTCCCACCAGGGTAGATGCGTAGGAAACCACCACCGGTTCCTCCATAGGGTGGAACCCTAAGTCGCAACGGTTTGAACGATGGTGAAAACGAAAATATATACGAGTATACCATAACCTATAGTAAAAAAGTATAGTACGGAGTATATAATTAGTTGAATATGAAGTGTGGTTGATGAGATAGGGCATGTTTGAGAATATTTTTAGAGATTAACATTAGTATTTTGGATAACGGTGCAGATTACTTAAAAAATAATAACGCTAAACGATGCCCGTAGATAATCTTTTCAAAATATTAATGCTAATGTGTAACACTATTATGAAGCCAAAGAAAGATACACAGTGAAAAAAAGTCAGCTGCATTCACCTTTCTTTTTGTAATCTGGAAACCTAATCGGAAACCCAATCGGAATCTCAGAGTTTTCTCGTCGTCTGGGAAGTTCTCTTGCCAGGGCACGCCACAATCATGGATCTAATTCGTTCGTATGCAGATGATGATGAGATGGAGAGTTCCTCTCCCGATTCATCTCCGGTTCCACTCCCGTCCAAATCCGCCGCCCCGAAAGTCGACGACACCATGCTGGCTCTCACAGTCGCCGGCGGGTCAGCCCGAGCTCTTTCCAAGCCGCTCGATCCGGCTCAGCACTCGGTATCCTATAATCCCACCTACGACCAGCTCTGGGCTCCAATTTACGGCCCCGCGCACCCTTATGCCAAGGACGGCCTCGCGCAGGGCTTGCGCAATCACAAGCTAGGGTTTGTAGAAAACGCTGCTATTGAGTCGTTCGTCTTCGATGAGCAGTACAATACCTTTCTGAAATATGGCTATGCTTTTGACCCGGCCTCGAATAGCTATGTTGGAGATATGGATGCTTTGCAGAAGAATGATGCAATGTCGGTGTATAATATACCGCAGACTGAGCTGAAGAAGAGGAAATTGGAGAAGAAGAATGAGATGGCTGAGAATGAGCAGGCAGAGGATGAAGGGGATACAGATGCCACGGACGTGGATAATCCATCGACCGAGGTGTGGTTGAGGAAGAACCGGAAGAGTCCTTGGTCGGGGAAGAAGGAAGGTATGCAAACCGAGCTGACCGAGGAGCAGAAGAAGTATGCGGAAGAGTATGCAAAGAAGAAGGGCGAGGAGAGGGGTGAAAGGGAAAAGCCTGAGCCTTTGGTTGAGAAGAGTACATTCCATGGTAAGGAGGAAAAGGATTACCAGGGTAGGTCATGGATTGCTCATCCCAAGGATGTGAAGCCTCAGAATGATCATTGTTACATTCCAAAGAGATTGGTGCATACTTGGAGTGGCCACACGAAAGGAGTTTCAGCTATTAGGTTCTTCCCGAATCACGGCCATTTGATTCTGTCTGCTGGGATGGACACAAAAGTGAAGATTTGGGATGTTTTCAATTCAGGCAAGTGCATGAGGACTTACATGGGACACTCCAAGGCTGTGAGAGATATTTGGTTTAGCAATGATGGAACTAAATTTTTATCTGCGAGCTATGATAAAAATATCAAGTATTGGGATACTGAGACAGGAAAAGTGATATCTACTTTCTCCACGGGGAAAATACCTTATGTGGTGAGGCTTAATCCCGATGAGGATAAACAGAATGTTCTTTTGGCGGGTATGAGTGATAAGAAGATAGTACAGTGGGATATGAACACTGGACAGATTACTCAGGAGTATGATCAGCATCTAGGGGCAGTTAATACAATCACTTTTGTGGATGACAATAGAAGGTTTGTGACCTCTAGTGACGATAAATCTCTCCGTGTTTGGGAATTTGGCATTCCTGTTGTTATAAAGTATATTAGTGAACCACATATGCATTCAATGCCATCAATTTCACCACATCCAAATGGGAATTGGCTTGCAGCTCAGAGTTTGGATAATCAAATTCTTATTTATAGCACTAGGGAGAGGTTTCAGCTGAACAAAAAGAAGAGATTTGCTGGACATATTGTTGCTGGGTATGCATGTCAGGTTAATTTCTCACCTGACGGGCGATTTGTCCTGTCAGGAGATGGGGAAGGTAGATGCTGGTTTTGGGATTGGAAGAGTTGCAAAGTCTTTAGAACTCTGAAGTGTCATGATGGCGTGTGCTTTGGTGTTGCATGGCATCCATTGGAGCAAAGCAAAGTTGCTACATGTGGCTGGGATGGCTTGATCAAATACTGGTAAGAATCTTATCCTTGATATAATATAAAGTGGGGTTTTTTGCATAACTAGCTTGTGGTAAGAATCTTATCCTTGATATAATATAAAGTGGGGTTTTTTGCATAACTAGCTTGTGGCATTGGGCAGTAGGAACTAGTTAATAGTTATATAAAATACGTCAAACATAGAAGACTAGATTGATGATGACGATATTGTTGTTGTTGTTTATGCACTCTCTACTTTCTTGTTATATAAGCAAGGATCATAAATCATAAATGACAATCCTGAGAAGTGTACTCTGATATCCCCTTAAGTCCCTAAACATAGTAGTGATCATAATTTTGCATGATTTCTTGCAAACATAGCTGTTAATCATGCTGTCTGCATGCATTTGAGTTGTCTGATTGACTTATAGACCATATAATATTTATACCATTGCAATAGAGTATTACCCTAGGACTTGATGTTAATCTTTCTATGTCCCTTCACTTCCTTGATGGTTTTAGAGAGTGCGCACATTCAGGCATTTAGTAATCAGAAAATTCAGTTAAGTAAAACCATCCTTTTCTCAAAGGGTCTGCTAATTAGTAAACATTTGTTATCCCCCAAAAACAGTAAACCTCTGTGAAATTGTGTGTATGTGCTGGTCGCTTGGTGGGTAGAGACGTAGAGTAAGGGCAGTTGGCTGGGGGTGCAGCACTTATTGCATTTGTGTATTNTACACCACCAACTTGTACACTGCACACACAAATGTTCTTGGTCACACTGAGAGTCTATGGGGCGCATACACAACACTTGTCTCTGAGAATTTGTGTGTGTGTGTGGTGTACAAATAGGTGATGCACAAAAAACTTTTTTCGTCTTGGGGCATAAGATTACATATGTGATATGTCTATGGATAGTAGTCTCATCGGATTAATATGTTTACCAACATCATCTTTGCTTTTGCAGGGACTGAAGTAACAGTGTATGTTCATTTATGAACTCATTGACAGAAAAGAGTTCTCAAAGCTTACATTATGAACTTGTCATTATGATTTTCCAAAGATCTAAGTCGTGGAGCTGTAGATATACCTGAAAGCTTTATGAGCTCAGATAGATATAAAAAACTTGGAAGCTTCAGCCATTGAGCGTCGCAGACGAGATGTACCACATATAACATGCTTTCAGTGGGCGTGAGACGAAATGTACCGAATATAAAATGTTTCGGTTGTTCTCTTTTATAACATGTTTCCCGATTTTTGTAACTATAGATTTGGTTCAGTGTCACTCTGTAATTCTCCCTCAACCAAATCAGATATTTGCTCCCATAATATGCTCTTTGGTCACTCCCAACTTTTCCTCTCCTGGAACAAAAACCTATCTGTTTCCATCATCCCCTTTTAATCCATCTATGAAATTTTCTCCCATTTCTTTTTATGGCAAAAAAGTATTCTGTATGTACTAAATGTCAAATTTTTAGCATGAAATTTGGTATTGGATTATTAAAATTAATATTTACGAGTACTATACACATATTTTAAAAATCGTCATTTTACGTACTGGAATTCCAGTATCATTACTTCTTCCAATCACTTTCTTCATTTTGAAATTTACGCATTAAAATATATCAATTTCGATGCTTCAAATGACTAATGACAAATATCTTCATAATTTCAGAAACAATATGGTAAACAAATTTAAACAAAATATCTCAAATAATCATACCTTTTCACGTTCTTTTAAAAATAATCTCACTTTTTTCACCGAAAATAATTCCATTTTTCTGCACGTGTGTGAGTTTTGGATCGTCGTTAAAAAGTTAATGGCCACTTAACGGAATTTTTGAAAAATGTCTGTTTTTTTGCAAATAAATGAAAGGTGTGATTATTTTAGATAAATTCTTTTTTTTTTTAAATTTCTAACATTAAATTTAAATGTATTTTTAAAATGTTTTTATAAACAATACTCTTTCAAATTTTAAGTGTTTTTAAAGTGAAACTAATGATTTTTTTCAATAATCGATAATCTTGTAATAATTGAACGATAAATTATTCTATATAATAGAGCTAATTTATTTACTTCATAACTCGCTACATTTGTTGTAAGTTGCAATTATTTTTCTTGAGCGACACTTCGAATTGTTTTTTGATACTATACTATTATTATTTTTTACGAGTAAGAGACGTATTGGTACTGCAAATATTTTGTGGGATTTATTTATTATATTTCCAACTAGTATTTTGGAGATTTTATCTTAGTTGTAGATCAAGATTAAAGAAGTATTCAAGACAACTTCTACACGCATATTCCTACTAGGATTGGGTTGGAAGATGCTTATATAAACACAACAAGTCCTTGGGATCTCTTGGAGTGATTGTGAGGAAAAAACACACAGAATACATGCCGATTTAAGAGCATATTCATCGTGTCCCGGAGTCATCCTTGCGTGAAGAAGTTACAATCTACATGAATAAGAATCCTATAAATATGGCACCTTGGTATGCTTTGAGATACGATAGAAATTTCAGTTTATATGGATTTTCGACGCATTATATTTGCTTACTCAGCTTCAACGTTGAGCGTGTAGTATGTTTTATTTGCTACACGCAGGTAAACAGAAAGAACAATTTGATCCTGGCGGCAGATGGGGCTAGATTGTTGGGATGGATGTGACAAGACTTGGAAATGATTTATTATGATATGACAATATTTAACTTCGCTTCCGCAATATTATTGAATACTCCGTACTATATATATTATGAAAAAATATTATTGTGATAAATGAAAGTCTTTGAAAAGTTTTAAATTTTTACGATTACCAAGTTAATACTTTAGTCTAAAAGGGGTTGCAGACCTGGACGGATTAGGGTGTTACAATTCCTTTTGATCACGAATCTCCAATGGGTCATCCCTAGCAGGGTCAGGAGAATGTTCCGGGAATTAAGTGGTCCTCTGTTGCAGGCGGACCGGTAAAAAAGTTGTGTAGTCGAACGTGAGTGCCACCGAGTCCCGAGAAATGAACAAGTCGAGTTCCTAGGAGGAAGAATCTTTGTCTGAGGATGTGTCCTCATCCATTGGTGATTGCTGACCGTGTTGATCCTTCGAGAGGTCCTCCGTACGATCTCCTTTGAATCCATATTCCACTTAGCCCTGCGAAGAAATGTCGTTCTATCTATGAGTATTACGCTCGGCACATCCGACGGTGCCTCTAAGGATTTGTGTTTATGTCACCCATCATGCCAAGCATGCCCTTCGGTAGCTCGAGACTAGTTATGTTTCGGTCCACTATTACTCTATCCCGGTTTGTTGTTTCCCTTTCACCCCTTCAAGATAGAGTTTTTTAGGGCTCTAAAGATTTCTCCAGGCTAACTTATATATGCACAACACCCAGCGGATCCTAGAGGCCTTCATCATTATATGGCATGAGTCCCTTGTGGATCCCGCCCTTGATCTTTTCCACTGGTTCTTCAAGGTCCAGCCTTACCCGCAACATGGTTTCTTAAGCTTCCGGGTGCAAGATGGCAAAGAAGGGTAACACCTCCTTCTTTAGCAAATAAGGGGAACAAGACAAGGGCAACACCCCTTTCGTTGGCAAACAAGGGGAACAAGACATCTAACAAGGGTCAAGAGAATAAGTTTCTTTGGGTTCGAGTTTCCTTGGACTCCTTCCTTACTTGGTAACACCCCTATCCTCGAAAATTCCTCGGTCTGGTTACTCTATAGTCATGCTCGAGGATGTAGTGACACTGAGCAAGAAGGGTCCTATCGAGATCATGTAGTATGTGACTCCCAAACAGTTGGCCAATGCAAGCATAGGTACTCCGAACAATATTTGGAATCTCCCTCTCAAGGCTTCTTTGTCAAGCCTTAGCTAGCTTATCTTGGGTATTCCTTCAGTTTGAGCCTCGTCCCACTCGGGCCGCATTTGGTAGGTTTTTTCTAACCTGCCTTTCCTTTTTCTCTGTAACTGGTTCTCCCTTTACTGCCTTGATGGATTTGGAGAAGATGACGTGTCTTGCTGCCAAAAAGAATGGAGCACCCTTGAAGAAGGCTTCTGCTTCGGTTACCTCGATGGCCTATGGGTCTCCGAACACGCGGTCCACAACGTTGCCCTATTCTCTCGAAAAAAACGAAATAAAAACTACATAAATCGAACCAAATAACTAATGATTTACATATTTTTGGTGTAGAACCAAACCAAACCGAATCACTAAATCAGATTCCATTTTTTCTTTAATTTTGGATGAAAACTGAACCATCAAAACGAACCACCCGATACATACGAGTTTTTTTAAGGGCCTATTTGGTACACAAAACTGACAAAATTGAAAACGAATTAGAATAGAAATTCTATAAAATTGAAAACAGAATTAAATTCTCTAGTTTCGATTCATTTTTTGCACTAACAATTCTAAATCCATATATTTTATACTATCAAACAACATAATTGAGATTAAAGTCCCCAACTCTAATTTGAGGGCTTGAATTTTGTGTAGCAAAGTAGCCTAAAAAGAAAAAAAAGACATACTTATGGTGTAGAACCCAAACCAAACCAATCACACCACCATTCATACGGATTACGAATTTATTTAAGAGGCCGTTTGGTACACAGAATTAACTAAATTGATATTGAATTAAAATAGAAATTGTATAAAACGGAATTGAACAAAATTAAATTCTCTAATTTCTATTCACTTTTTGTACTAAAAATTCCAAATTTATAGGAGTATATTTTTATACTAACAAACAATATAATTGAGATTAAAGTCCCTAATGGTAATTTGAAGGCTTGAATTTTGTGTAGGAAAGTAGCCTAAAAAGAAAAAAGACAAGGTCCGCAAGTGGACCTACTGGACCATATGCAAAATTGGGTCTGCAAAATTTAGCCATAGCAGCAGCATCCTAGGCTTCTTCTGGGACTGGCAGAGTGTTTTCCATTTTTCCCTCTTCCTGCTCCATTTTTGCTCTGGACACTGACAGAACTAGAGCTCGGTGGGTGCATGGATGATGGAGGAAGAGGGAGGAGGGTGACGGGAGGCATTCCTCTCGACTGGGAGAAGTTATTCTCGGAACGCGAAGACGAGCCTCCGCCGGAGCTGGTGGTAACCCCCACGCCTGCGATAAACGGGAGATTGACGGAGATGGACGAGGATCAACGCGGGGGAGACCTCCAGAGCTTGTCCGATGAGGCGCTCAAGGATAAGATTGCGAGGCTTCATCGAACTATATGTAGCAGTACCTTGAGAAATCTACCCGACGGTGGCGAGAAGCTTAAACTGTTTCACCAACGACATCTGGATGAAGTGGAACGGAGGAAGCGTGAGCGTCTGAATGAGGTGATTTGTAAAATCAGTTTTATGTGTTTCCCAATAGTATGATAGGTTAGCTTTAAACCTACATTCCTGACTAATTGTTCGATATTCTCTATATGTCAATGTAAAATTCATAGACTTGATTTTAGGGTAAAATCAAGTCTATGGTTTAGGGTAAAATGTTTGATTTTTTTAATGTGTTATACTCAGTAGAATTCTGTGTTTCTCAAAATTCATGAATGACCCACTCTTGCGTTTGATTCAGTTTCGTGTACTTTTGAGTCCTTTGGGTTGGTTGCGTTTTATAATTGGGCGTGAAGAACATGTAGTGATAATTGGAACAAATACAGGTCACTGTTTTAACTTAGTGCTGAAACAAATATATGTCTGTGTCTTCCCTTCATTGGTAACATTTTCTGGCACTCATATTTCTAGCCCCTAAATAAAAGATGAGCTTTTTAGTTTTACATGCAACTATGGGATAAAAGTGGACGAAAATTTGGGAAGGTACTACTGACAGAAACAATCTTTTGTTACCAAATAGAAAGACTTTGTATCAACTGGATACACCTCCAATTAGTCCAATCTCCCCATACTTTTGCCTTTTGTACCAAATACAAATAGATGAACTGGTTCCAATTTGGTGCTCCCCATCCCCCACATTTTTGGTACTAAATATGCTAAACCCTAAGGTGGCTGTCGTGAAATAGTTAAGCTGACTTTCCATTGCTTTGACTAGTTGACTTTGGGGACTGCCTTCAATTTATTTTGTGAGTATATTCATATATAATCCTTGAATAATAAAAAAACACAGGTGTACTTGTACACTTGTACCATTGTCACATTGTTGCTAATTTTGTTTTATACTTCCTCCATACGTAAATAAATGCAACGGAGGGTGATTTTACACTATTCTTTTGCTCATGTTCAATTGTTTTTTTGTGATTTACGCATAAATGCATGGAGGAGGGTTTTACACGATTCATTAGTGAATACATCTACCAGCTGATTGTTATATAATATAACAATAATAAAGCTCATTAGAATACACACTCATCCATACTCATGAAAAACATAGGAGCTATTTCTGTCTGACCCTAGATGCATTGTTTCCTTTACTACCCAAAACTTCATAGCAAGTTATTAGAGAAAGTTTGACGTGTCATTTTGATTTAGTCCATTATTTACTTGAAACTAAAACATTCACAAATATGACTCTTTGAATCTTTGATGCAGCCCTTAGCTCTAATCCCATATTTTCTATTCTTGTATGTGCTTTGCTATTGTCCTACGTGTAAGCTAGACTTGTAACTCTCTAAATAGTAGACTCAATCTTTGGAAGTGTAATAAGAAGATATTTTCATTCCTAACTTCCTTCTCTCTCAATTCTCAACAGAATTCTCTCTCTCTCTCTCTCTCTCTCTCTCTCTTGTCTGTTAGTGTTAGTGAGCCTCGGAGCTCTCTTCTCCATCCAAGAGTTCCCATGCCGTAACACTTTTTTATCGCCATTAGCAACAGACATAGTGATCGTTATAGAAGATATAAAGCAAATATGAACGCCTAAGCCAATGAGGGTGTGTTTGTTTAGCCAAATCACTATGGGTTTTGATATCTCCGATATCAAGTTCCCAAAATTAGTGTTTGATAAATAAATAAGGTTTTGAACTTTCAGATTTGTAGATATAGTAACTTTCCCTATTGCCCGCTTCTCGATATCTCCGCTAAAGACTGCTATCAATCCGCCGATATCATCTTCTCTCTTCTCCCATGCACCCATTTTTTTTCTGGTTGAGACAATTCTTCTCCTTCGTCTGTATTCATCGCTGTCTTTCTGGCGTAAGCAGTCATCGTTCTCTTTGTGCCGCAAGCAAATCCCTAATAATCCCAAAATGGTGTTTTGATTGTTTTAATTAATATTCCAATGTTTTATCTTCATGGTTTTCTCTATGGGGATCCTTATCTTCTTCTTGAGGAATTGATTTCTTGTATTGACCACATATCTTCTTCTACATTTATTTTTGATATTTTTCCAATTCTTTTTGGTTAAATAGCTTCTCACCGAACGGAAAATAGTGAAACTTAATTTCATTTCAGTTCTCTCCACCCACTTTGATTTTATATTTCAAAACCCATATCATTTTTTCATCTTTTGAAAACATATATCATATCAAACCTCCAAAACTCACCAAATGGGTTTTAAGTCATTCTCTATTTTTCTTGGTCTTTTATACATCTTGCCTCTTAGAGCTTTAGTCCCATACCATACTTTTGATTGGGGGTGGGATATTATGAGTATGTTTGGTTTGGAATACTTTGGTATTAGGTAAGCAACAATGACATTGCCAGTTTGATGGTGCATCTAGAGTTATGGCTGCATTGAGTGACAGGGGTGAGAAGAAACATATTGGACATAAGGAGTATTTATTTGGAGTGAACAACATAGTTTGTAAGGCGGAAAGGCGAGGCGAGGCGCCAATGTACCTTCATATCGCCTAGGCGACGACTAGGCGGCATACATACCTACATACATACATATACATATATATGTATGTATGTATGTATTTGTGTGTGTGTGTATATATATGTATGTATATGTGTGTGTGTGTATATATATATATATTTATATATGTA